CCCCCCCCCCCCCCCTGAATTGAAATATGTGTTGTATGCAGAGTTGTCAATAGTGTCTTATCAGTTACCCTGAATGGGCACCTTGGAGGAAGCGAGACGAGTGGGAGAATCACATTAAATCCTAAATGCAATTAATTAAACGTGGTTCAGTTGTGTGGGTTTTTTTTCGTTTAGTGTGTGGAGATAAGCTTTTGTTAAAGCCATGCTGGGGTGTTTTAAAAGTCTGATACGCTTGTTCATGTATTCTTTCCGAAGCGCTCAACGGCTCTTACCACCGAAAGCATTATCCATATTTCTGTATATTATTATTCACCATAGGTCTGAAAAGGTTTTCTCAGCTTTATAAAATAATTTAGGCCAAACTGCTGCGAGGATTCGTGTTAAAAAAAGGGCAAATAAAGGGACAGTTTAAAAAAACACAAAAAAAACCCAATTAAAAAAACCCAAACCAAAACAAAACAAAAAACAACAACAAACAAACAAGAATGTAGCAGTTTTTATGCCCCCGGCGACAATAGTGATTGTCCAGCATTCACAGCCATGTAGAAGGGTTGACCAAACATAGCATTTCAGGACTTTCATTTTGGTGTTCATTGAGATGTTTCTATTTTTCAGGATTGGGCTCATTTTATTGAAACTAGCCTTAGCCATTGTAGTTCCCCTATTTATTTCTGTGGAACATTTGGCATCAGATGTTGTCATATATCCTAGCTATTTAAACTGTTGGACTTGTTTGATCTTTTCACCTTTAAATGAGATTACAACTAGGATTTGCTGCTTTTTGGATATTACCATGCATTCTGTTTTCTTTGCATTCAACACTAATCCTTTAAGTTCACTTTCTGTTACAACAATTTCTAGAAGCAATTGAACGTCCTTTTCGGAGCCTGCTATTAAAACCGTGTTATCTGCATACCTGATGTCATTAATATTTTCTCCATTTACTTTGAGGTCTGGACATTCTTCTATGTTTCTAAGGATTGTTTCACTGTACATGCTAAAGAGGTCTGGTGACATAACACGTCTTTGCCTCACTCCTTGCCTGATCTGCTTATATTCACTGTATTCTCCATTAATTCGTACTGCAGCATTTTGGTCCAGGTACAAATTTCTGATAATTCTTAGATCTTTTCCATCTATGTCTAGCTTTTCCAGTATTTTAAATAGTTCATCATGTCTAACTTTATCGGACGCCTTTGAATAACCTATGAAGCATAAATACAGATCTCTCTGTGCTCCAATACATCTTTCCATTAACATTGTTAAGGTGAATATAGCATTTCCGGTGCCCTTGTCAGGAACAAAGCCGCATTGCGTTTTAGATACCTCGTGGTCTTACACTTTTTCTCAATCTTCCTATTATTACTTGCAGCCATATTTTTGTAAAATGACTCATAAGGCTAATTGTTCTATGCATATCACACTCAGTGGCACCTGGTGTTTTAGGTAAAGCTATAAAAACTGACTTCATCATATCTTCTGGGATCTCACCGCTGTCATAAATAGCATTTATAGGAGCTTTGTTGTTATTTCACTGCCTATTAGTTCTTCAAGCGCTACAATCACTTCAACTGGAATATTATCTGGCCCTGTGGCTTTTCCTTGTTTCATTTTCCTAATGGCAGCTTGTACTTCTGCTTTCAGTATTGGTGGTCCATTTATTTCATTTTTTATTACCTGGTTTTTCTCCCCTATTATCTTTGAAAAGTTCTTTTATGTATTCTGACCATCCGTTTAAGACATCCCCGTTGTCCATTAAAATATCCCCTCCCTTTGATCTTATGCATCCTGTATTTGAGCATCCTTTTATCCCACTTACTTCTTTGACTTTGGAATGCCTGTATTTGCTGTCTTTGTTTTGGTTCTTCTCTACTGTTGGAGTAACAAACACAAAAAAGAAGGAGGGGAGACAAGGATGACAGATGTTTGATACAAAAGAAGGAGCAAACCACACTAAAGCTTCTGCCAACCACCCAGCTTCTGTCTGTGATAGCTAGAGCAAAATGCAAAAATAAAATTAATCCCCTTTATACAGGATATGTTGTAATAAAACAATTAAAACTCTAGTGTAATATACAAAATATGATATTTATTGTCTCTAAACACAAGTTTTTACATACAGTTCTGTAAAATGGAGTACAACTGAAAGCTGCAAAGAAGGTATTTGCTTACACTTACAGGCTATGATGAGACAAATGGAAACAAAGAGGAAGACAAGAATCAGCAAGAGAGTTGCCTTGACACCAACAACAGATTTCAAACTTGTAATTCACAATTTTTCCCAAAGTAGGAAACTCAGTTTCATGATACACAAAGCAGAGGATGAAAAAAAAAGCTAAGTCAAATTCAACAAAGAAATGCAATCAAAATTTGTTTTAATCAAATTAATCTTATGATACAGATAAGGTAAGCGAAATCAAACACAAACAAGGTATATGAATGAACTCAACATTCATTTCTATGTGATTTAAGTTTAGTTTAAATGAAGTGGAGTTTTAGAGGTACAAAAGTTCCAAATTAAACAAGGGGAAACAACACATATATATATATATATATACTTGCTGTGGAAAGTGCCATCCTTCAAACAAAAATCAAGCATAAAACTAAATCAAGAGATCCTTGCTTACTTAAATACAGGGAAGAATCGCAAACATGATATGTGAAGGTATGACCCAAAAACAAAAAAATGATGGTACTTTTATTTTTATCAGCACCAGATTTTTAGTTAGTAATGAAGCTCTTATAAAAACGAACTGATTTGTGAGAAGGAAACGGCAGCAGTTTCATTTTCAACACAGATTAAGTAAGCTTGATATCACTCAGGGTTCAACATTTGAACTACATATGTAGTTTTGCATATACCAGTAGGCTTTGCTCAACATGAAACCATTTAACAGAAACTTTCTGTTAATACGAAAAGCTTTCAAATCCCTGTCCCCCCTCCTCTTTATTCTATTCTTCCCTTACCATGATGAAAAATTCTGGTAGGTTTGGTTAACATGAAGGAATTTTGGGCTGCTTCATCATTCCTTACAGTCGACTATCCCCTTTACTTTTTCTTTCACTCCCAGTAGTCTAACCATTGTTAATACACAACATAGATCACGCATTCAATGAGCTAAGACCACCATCAAGTTTTCTATCCAAATTCCCATATACAGCGGGTGGTGAAAGAGTGGCTTTGTTTAGTGTTTAGAGGGACATGGCGACAAGACACTAGGAAGCTGCAATCTGTCCCATTTTTTTTCTCTTTTTAATTTTCAAATGACCTTACAATGTGCAGCTGATCAGTTCTATGTATTTGCTATTTGTTTTTATACTGAGAAATAGCAGGGAAAAATCATAAAGCAAACAGCTACAGCGCCCCTTGTGGACCTCATTCTGTGCAATCAAGTCAGCCGTCTGAAGTTGAAAATATTTTCCCTTTTTTTCCCCCCAATTTCTAACCCTTGGCAGCTCTGCACTTGTTGACTCAAAATTAATAGTTTACACATTCATACAAGACAACAAACAGTAAGTGAGGAGTCACCTCCCGTTCTCTGTTGTTTTTATGAGCACTTTGCTCAACACGAAATCGTGCACAACAGAAAAATATTCTCTGGTCCAGCGAAGTTTGTGTTATTACAGTTTCACTATCTTTAAGAAAATTGTAAACTGATAATTTGCGCACATATGTCAGACACACCAGCTTTTTATGAAAATATATCATGGTAACCTGAACGGTAAGTATACAGAATTGTATGGATAGGGATACAGCAGCAGTCTAGCTTTATAGAGTGAGTGCATCAACAAATGGACAAGAAAAAGGAACACTGGAATATTTACAAGACAAGGTAGAGAGATGCACTCCATCACAGACAGACACACAACACCATACATCTTTGTTCACACAACTGTTCACACACTGAACTGACTAATGTTTTCTCTCATATGTGTCAAGATGTAATGGAATCAGGCGCTTGTCAATTTTTGGGCATGTGGAGTTATTGGTATCATCTTAAAGCTTGTTCATTTGTCTTGATGTTGAACCCCCCCCCATTTATCTTGAATACAAGTCGAAATATTTACGATTGAAGGAGGTGGGGGTAGAATGGTTTTAGAGGTAGGCTAAAATTAATGAAAAGACGGCCTGAGAGTCCATGGGAACTGAAAATTTACATTTTTTGAACCTTTATTCAACATTTTTCAGCGAAATCCACACAGAAATGTGTTCTTAAAAGGACATAAAAGGGGTTGAGCCAAAAAACCAAAAATTTGATAAAAATTGCTTCACCGGCAGACAAGTGCCACTTTCTACAATGTCATTATTTTGACGAGCGTCTGATTTCACCATGCAGCCTCATGTATGTATTTCTCAGTGAGCAGACCAAAGTCAGTTGCGTATTAGCCGAAAAGAAAAAAGTATGCTGTAACTCAACTGTAATTGCATAAAAATTACTTGTAGTGCATAAGTTATAGAGATTTATTTTTCCATTTGACAAATTCTTTTACAAGACACATTACTTCTTCATTTGAGAAATGTATCATCTAAATATAATTCAAGTACCATACGAGAAAAGAGAGAGATGTAAGGCTTCTACTGAATGGTAAAACTTTGCTCAATTTCATGGACAGTGGGACTACTGGGCGGGCTGGGTGGAGGAGAGTCTCGAATTTCCACTTCAATGTCAGTGTCACCAGGAAATTCAGGGAGCTCAGGCATGTCTGGAACACACAAAAAAAGAGAAAAAATTATGTTAGAACTGCATAATCTATGTGCAGATTTGAGTTTCCATTTGTGAAGTGAGCTGAAAAAATTAGTTACTTCTCGGATTCGAGCCCTTTGGAAATAGACACATCATGCTTATAGGTGAAGTTTTTACACTTTATAAGTATGAAATAATAAATGGCATTTTATACTTAAAGAATATGGCATCAACAGGAAATCTATAAATTTGATCCTAGTGTTGATTTTTGGCCCAATATCTCCATTTGTTGACTGTGAGAAGTAATTCATTTTGTCAGCACGTCTCACATTTGACATACAGAAGAGTCCGCTTAAACTAAACACTTATCCGAAAACAGTGAAAACCAATAGAAAATAAAATCCCGGATTTTTCGCCTCTTGGTAGGAAAAATATTGAAAAGCTGAAATAGTCCCATCTCTAAACCAAAAAGCATTTTAAGGATAATGTTGTCTACTCCTTCACGACCAACCCTCATGTGATGCAAATCATCAAATATTACGCGCTTCAAAATCGCAAAACAGGAGAAAGAGACTCAAGAATGCATGGGTGTCGACTGTGGGCCAGAGAAAAGCCTCAGGCTTACCAGTGTACTGTGTGTCTACATTTATCACACTGTGCATTGAGGTCTAGTAAAACAAGAGTTGGTTGGTCATGGCCTATTGTCTCTACCAAGTTAGATAACAGAGGCCTTATAAATTTTATATGAGCATATGACAGCATGTGGTTTGTTTCATAATGTGACTAGTATTGGGGTATCTCTCTTCTCTTGACTAGCACAGAGTATGGTACAGTGTGATAGTCTACTCTTTTGTCTGTTCTGTGTGAATGCTGGGCACATTCAGCAAGCTGACAATGTTGAAAAGAAAGCACAAAGCTTACAGTCTACTGCTCAAATTACAGTTATTAAAAGAGGTAGATGAGAACAAAAAATGTTAAAAAATTGAAATTTGCTGTAAGCATGGCATTCCCAACTCTAAGCTTTTGACAATCATTGCCATTTGAGCAACTCCCACTAAACCGAAAACACAGCTGAACTGAAAAAAAAAAATGGGCAGTCTTTCAGATTTTGGTTGAAACAGACTCCGCTGCATTTCTAATTATTTTCAAATAATTCAGTTCTTCATTTTTAAAAGTGGATGATATCAAGTTAAATCTGAGTTGGAAATGAAACCTTTGTTTCCTTTTCAGAAACCAGTTTATTTTCTAACCCTTTCTGTAGGCCCACAAATCTGTAAACTCATTGTTCAAGATCCTCTTTCTGTAATGAAAGAATCACTGCAATATCCAATCAGTAAGACGACATAAAAATGCAGGTGTTTTATTTCAACTTTGTAAATCTGTGAGAGACTCATGGAGAATACACTAGCAGTCCCTCCCCTCCATCTACCTCATGACATCATATACAATTCACCCCCCCCACCTCCCCACTCAGAATATGGCATACCAGTCTTCTAAAAATCCCCTTCATGATACCCTGCACTAGTCATCTATCTATTCCTGCCACTCTCCATCCCCCCCTCTCTATCCTATGACATCATGCACCAGTCTCTCCCCCCATGACATCACGACCACTCACCTGTCTCGAGGGGTTCAGGGTCGTACACAACGACGGTCTGAGGCTCCGGTTCGGGGTCGTAGACAACCACGGTCTGCGGGTCAGAGTCAGGACTGGCGGCCATCATATTCTCCGATTCCAGGTGGGAGACAAACACAGGCTCGGGTGCAGGGATGACAAACACCCCCTCCCCGTCCATCGCAGCGACTTGGCTCCCGGAGGAGTCAACGATCATAACTCCCTGGCCCCCTGATGAGTCAGCGAACATAGCAGTCCCTTGGCCCCCTGATGATGAGTCAGCAAACATAGCAGTCCCCTGGCCTCCTGATCCTGATGAGTCGGCAAACATAGCAGTCCCCTGGCCTCCTGATCCTGATGAGTCGGCAAACACAGCAGCTCCATGACTCCCGGATGATCCATCAACATACACAACTCCTTGGCTCTCCGATGAACCATCTGCCAGCACAGCCCCCTGGCCCCCTGCCGAACCAGCGAAGTACACGGCTCCTTGGCTCCCTGACGAGTCAGCCATCAGCCCACCTCCTTGGCTCCCCGATGACTCGGCAAACATCACAGCCCCTTGGCTCTCTGATGAGCCAGGGATCACCATAGTGACGGGGCCCGGCGAATCGCCTTCCACGACGATGGTCTCTATCTTGTCCTCATACTCGGGGTGCTCAAACACACGCCTGCTGTAGGAGGAGCTCTGGGAGGCCGGCTCACCCACCACTTCTGTCTCGATGATGGGCACGGGTCCCTCTGGCTCCACCACTGGGGGCGGTATTTCCTCAGGCTGTGTAGGTTTTTAGAATAAAGATTAGAATGAGAAAAAAAAGTAAAATTGATTCCTTGCTATTCAGGTTCTAAAATTGAAAACTGAAATTATAAAAGGACATTCATGTGCTGCTGCGTGTTTTCTTATAAACATTAAAATTGAAATGAGAAAAAAAAGGACATTGGTTGACTGCTGCGAAGGTTAAAGAGCGTCGGTGGCCTAGTGGTTAGGCTCTCGGACTCGCAACCGTAAGGTCGTGGGTTCGAATCCCGTCAGGGGCCTGACATTGTGTTCTTGGGAAAGGCATTTATTATTATTATTATTATTATTATAAAGATCAAAACTGAAAAGAGAAAAAAAGGGGTTTGACTGGTTGCTGGACAATTAAAAAAATTAAAATTGACCTAATCAAATGAGCAAAAAAAAAAAGGACATTGATTGGCTATCAGCACAAAGAACTTTAGAATAAACATTAAAAACCTAAAATTTCACTTTTGTGCTGGGCACTTCTAGAACCTTTTTTCAGGATAGATTATAAAAAAGGTAAATTGTAAGCCAGAAAAATGTTAAGGATGCCCATCTGTGAGCCATCATGCAGCTGTTATTAGAGATTTATAAATTGGCATAACCTTATCTTTTAGGATTAAAAGAAAATAAACAGTTTGATTTTTTTCGTTAGAAGATGTAAAACAAATTTGCAAGTAAAAGAAACCTGTTTTTATATTAGAAAGTTATATAAAAATCAACCAAACAATGGTTCTGAGAAATTTCTGAAGAAGTGTTCCTCCATCTAATTCAGCAAAAGTAAAGGGAATCATGCACCTGCTCTGGTATAAAAAAGCTCACTCTTCACACTTATAGCTTTTACAAGCATTTATTTCAAATAAACTGATTTTCAATAACATCATGATGGAAAATCTATTGGGAGATACCCTTTCTCTTTTTCCCAAAGAGGACGTTACCTTCCACTAGATATGGTCGCTCTTAAGCACAAGGGGGGCTATCCCAAAAAATGCTGGTTTGAGAAAATCGAAGGTAAAGTTTTTGCCCCTTGTACAGTTTCTTTAAAAGACCACACATACAAACCAATGAAACCAAGCTTCTCCTATGGGTAGGGCAATGCCTACTTTTGGCGTAGGTAAAAATTTCTGAAAACAATCGAAATCTGGGTTAGCCCCCTTGTCCTTTAAAGTGACCATATTTATAGTTGAGGAAGAAACCTCATCAGTTTCATGTAGCATCTGTCCGACTTTGAACTTGGCACAAGGCCAACAAAGTCGGGAACACATACTACACTTTAATCTTAGCCAAAAGGGCGACAAGTGTCGCCTGCTGCGTACCAAATGTGAGGAATTGTGGTGAAATCAGGCGCTCGTCAAAATAAACGTCATTTTTCTTCCAGTTGGAAATTTCTATTGAACTTGTATTTTTTGGCTCAACGTCATTTATGTCCATTTAAAAATACATAGCTGTGTGGATTTAAATGAAAACTTTGATTAAAGGAACAGAAAATGTAAATTTACAGTTTCCAAAGACTCTAAAGCTTTGGAATTCACCAAACTTTGGAGGCCATTTTCTTGATAATTTTACCACTAAAACCAGGTGACCCCCACCTCCTTCAATCGTAAATATCTCGAATTCTATTGAAGATAGATGGGTAATTTTTGTCATAGAAAGCAAGACAAATGAACAGGCTTTAAGATGATACCAATAACTCCATATGCCCAAATATTGACGAGTGCCTGATTCCACAGCACGGTGACACACATATATACAACATTAAAACTGTCAGTGGCCTGCCTACCTCATAAGGCTCCAAGTTGGTGGGCTCCTCGCCGGGCAAAGGTTGCAGGTCCTCCGGGGCTGGGATAACCACCGGGACGACAGGAGCCGCGGAAGACTGCACCTTCTTCACGGTGGCGTACTCTGTACTCTCAAAGCCATGGTTGGAGTAGACAGGGTTAAAGCTGGTCTCCACAGGCTGGTAGGAAACAAACAAAACTTTTCTCACGGGTGGATATTGGTGGAAAGGGATTTTAAAATAGCAACATTGGTTGGAAACACCTTTGGAACAGTTTCTGAACGTTTTGACTGAAAAAGTGATCATGTACGCTAGAACTTTAACTATAAAATACCTAGATTTTTCTATTCTAGGTTCTCAATACAATAAAAGGCCTGAGAATGTGTAACTTTCACTTTCATCACATGATGATTAAGAGTGCTGCTAAAGAATAACAGAGAAAGAAAAAAAAAGAGGAGTGATATGGTCAACAGAAATTTGAAAGGAAATAAGAAGCAGGCCACATTAAAGCACCTGCCAACCACCCACTATTCTGTTTGGAGAAAGATGGTCAAAATATACAATTTGACAATCTGAATCTGTAGATTAAGGCAGGCTTTCCATCCAGCAGGCTTTATTTTTCAGCATCTTATAAAAGTTCCCATCATTTCACCACTGGCGTATTTTTCACTAGCATGCTAACATATAAATCCAGTGAGGGAAAAAAAACCCAAAGACTCTGTGCCTATGCAGTATTTAAGATGTGCATATCATTGGCCAGGTGTACAAATAAACTGAGACCAGCACTTTGAAAACATCTTTTATTTCACTTTCTTAATCTGAGATACCCGTTGAATGTGCTTGAGAAATATTTGATCAATACTTGAATTCTAAATGTTGAAAAAAGCAAGAAAAGATGTATAATGTAAGTATTATTTCTAAAAAGTGAAACAGCTTTTTCTCTCTCCTGAACACTTTTGCTTTCTGGGCGTAGAACAGTTGAGTAGACTGCTGCCGAAATACTTTTCCACATATTACCAAAGAAGGCATGATTTTTAACTAGAACTAATAATAAAAATTTAAAAAATCAAGTATCTTTTCTAAAGAGAACTAATGTTAAGAGAAGCACCCTTACCTCCGGGGATACTGAGATAATGGTGTTACGTTCTGGAGACGAAAGAAAAAGATTCACAATCAGATATCTATCTATAAAAATGAAAATAAATATACAACTTGAACAAACTCAATATGAACACAACTACAGCTGCGGTAGTGACTGAGAGCCTGTCTTGTCTTTAAGTGCAAGCATACTATTGTATTATTATTGTTATGGGCACAGATGTGTGTGGAACAAAGTATATGTGAGAGAGTGATACATGCACATGCGCATGTGTGTGTGTGTGTGTGTGTGTGTGTGTGTCTGTGTGTGTGTGTGTGTGTGTGTGTGTGTGTTTATGTGTGTGTGTGTGTGTGTGTGTGTGAGAAACACCAAAGCAATGTGGCAGGATCTGGAAAAAAAAGATGTATCTTATCTTATCTAAAATGTACAATACTGACTATCATGACTGTGTCTTCAATAGTGTCTACTATGTTAATAATAAGATGAAACTGCTAGAATGGCAAACGTGTGTATCAATTTATCTGTAGACCTCCTCAAATATCAATTTATCTGTACTCAAGCAATGTAAGCCATATATTATGGGTAAATCAACACAATGATGATCAAGATTGAAAGGATGAAACACATTTACAGTATTCAATGTGTCTGTTCTTCTGGTCATACATGTTATTCACAAAAAACAAATGTAAATTCCAAAAATTTTTTTTAAGGTGAACTGTAAAATATATAATGTCGTAAGATAACCTCCTTGCTCCCCTCTTGATAAATTCCTCTAAAATACAACTGTCAAAGACAGAAACCCACTCAACCTGAAAATGGAAAGAGAAATTCCTTCCTTTTGGAAGGGTTTGACTTGTTGAAGATGCAAAATGCTTTGCCTATGCAGCCCTGATTCAAAACAAAACTCTCACATTAGGTTCCACTGGCTTAAACCTATACCCCACACAACCAGGTGAGGAAGGGCGGAAGGGGGGGGGGGGGGGAGGAGGGGTGTGGTTTGGGGGTAGCTGCTACCCCATCCATTGAACCCTGAGCACTGGAAACAAACAGGGTATTCAATTGTAATTATTTTTATTGGTCAAAACAGTGGTCCTATGAGATGCAAGCACTGGTAGCATGGGATAACTAAGACTGACGAATGCCATTATCAGAGAGGCTAGGATAGTGTTCGGGAGATTTTTAAAAACGTTTTGACCACTTCTTGCAGAAAAGACAGGTGACCCTTGTTCCCATAATCCCACCTGCAACCCCCCCCTCCCCTCTCCTAAATTCTGAATTTTTATTTGGTATCCTTGCGATTCTGACTTGGACAGGTTCAACTGCATGCACACATGAGCACACAAAAAGGAAAAAGGTACTAATATACAGTATGAAAAAAACACTAAAACGTGTCAGCAATTAACTCACGGGCATTCAGCTTCTTCTTCTTTCTGTTCTTGCTGTGAAACAAAACAAAATGCAGAGTGAGATTTGAGTTGGAAAAAAGAGAAACACATTGACATTAAAAGAGAATCACATTGACATTAAAAAGCAAAGACAGTTTGAGGTCACTTAGTGCAGGGAAAAAGTCAGAAAGACAGAGGGACGGAGGGAAACAAAAGAGAAATAGAACCTATAGCCTGTTCACTTTCGTCTGACGGCGTAAAAAAAAATCCTAGCTCATTTAGGAATTTACCTACGCCCATGAAACTTTGCGAGGCATTTCTGCAGACCAGCCACCAAAACAAAAATATTAATAAAAAATAAATCTTGACCCAGTAATAAAAAAGTTTTTCTCTTTGGGCCTTATATTAAAAACCGCTCTTTGAGTACATACACAGGATTACTAAAATAAATGACTTAAAGTAGCCTTGCCTACAAATAGCTAATTTTGAGACAGCGACATCACCCTGCCCCCACATTTAAGTGTAAGCTTGTTGATTTCATCCCCTGGCTGTCTAGACGTCTCCTCGTGTTCCACGTGAGTCTCGAAAATTACTCACCCCGTCTCCTGAAACGTGTTTCTTGGGTGAACGTTAAGGGGTGGTGTTGAGGAAATTATGTTAAGGGTTTTAGGTGGATGTTATAATTCCTCTAATATTTTTTTGACCCGCTTTAGGCTTACATCAAGGAACCTCTAGTTTGCAGTGATTTTTATGAATGGATCTTTAGATTCTGTTGGTCGCTTAACTTTTAGACCCGCATGCAAAGACCTAGACAGACTTAAAAAGACCGATTTGTTTTTATTCCGTTTTAACCACTATCAGACAAAGCGCCCTTCAACTACTCACAACGTGTGATTAAATAATTCAAATGTTAGGTCATTTCCCATTAGCAGGTACACAAATGTGCTATCAGAGACATAAAAAAGGAGGAGCAGAAGAGATGCAAACACAGATAGAGAAAGATAGACAACAATAAGTTCAGATTGTATTTCAAATTTGCTGCATGTTCGCCTTTTATAAGCACAATAAAAATTCAAAATTTTTCACTACTGACACTAAAATTCAATCGTTAGAAGGTTTACTGTATCAAGTTCAGCTGATCAGAGCAATAAGCCCAGTGGTTAGTGAGCTTAGGCTCACAAAAATAAACATATCCTGTAAGTGACGGGGTGTTTTAGGTGGTTGGATACTGTGGTGTAACGCTGCACAGTAGCGAATTTGCAAGATTGTTGTGATATTGTTTGTTTCATTATGACATTGATCAATTATTATTTGAAAGTATTTATGAATTTTGGTAAGTATGAGTCGATCTTTTCATTGCAAACCACATGGGGATCAATAAAAGTTTTGTTTTATATATTTTTCTGTAATTATAACTTACGATCTGCGGATACAGTAGCAAGCGATGCACAGCAGGAGAAGGGCGAGGAAAATGAGGAGGATGCAGATGATAAGGATGGCAAGGACTGCATCCTCGTCCAAATTGAATATTCCGCCTTCATCATGCTCCTGGAAACAAAGCAAGAAACAAAAACTTTTAAAAAACATTAAACAGCTGTTTTATTTTTTGTTTATTTGCATGAGAATTATATTACAAGTGAAAATAATGACAAAGACGACAGAAATAGAGAAGAAGGAAGTAAAGAAAAAAGGAAGAAGGAAAAAGAGATGAAGGCGGTAAGAAAAAAGGAAAGAGAATTTGAAGAAAAAGATAGAAAGAAAAAGGAAAGAAATAAAGAAGAAGGAAGGAAAGAAAGAAGAAGGAAAAAAAGAGGATGGAAGAAAAGGCCTTTGACAGTTCAGTTAAACAGGTTTCAGCTACTCCAGTAGAACATGCTTCCTGGAAGTTAGCCTGGGCCTATACTTCATTGACATGAGAAATAAGATTCTACTGTACCTCAACTTTAGTGACATAGAGTGCTTCAACGGCTGAGTTGGACTGGGTGCGCTCTCCTTCTAGGATTGTAGCCAAAGCTGCAGCTGAATGGATAGTGTAGGAGCCACCTTGATACCTCATGGCCGTCAACATGACATCCGTTCTGTGAACACAAAGCTCAATCGTTTGAACCATTTGGACAACATTTAGACCAACTGTTCAGTGTCAGACTCGGTCAAACGTCACTTTAACTTTTCAAAATGGTGTATATTATTGTTGATCATACATTAAGCAGTCACAATACTCATACATTAAGCAGTCACAATACAGTACAAATACTTTCTTGCTTACAGACACTCATAGGACCAGGGTTCCTTTTACTTTTCATCGCATGTTAACCCCTTAACACAGGGTCAGTTTGCGCTTCACCGGGCACAATTTTGGATCACCAGGGACACAGAGTAGCCTTAGATTTAGTGGTCAGTTTCCTATAATTAGACCCGGTTTGGCAATACTACTCTAACAATATCTAAAAGGACAAGATTTTACTGTATGGAAAAAATATTCCTGAATGTGAATCTGCCATCAGTTCTACACATCATCATGGTCCTCGCGCTTCGCAAGACATGACGAACGCCGTACGTCACACCAGCGTCTTGGTTCGTTTGCCATCTAAGCAAAAATGATGAACGGCATACATCATATAGGTCACCAAGGGGTTAAGATCATCAGCACTGGTATGATGTTGTGTGTGGTGTGAAACTAACGAAGTATTGTGTGTATGTATTGTAAAAAGTAAAGTTGTTCCTGCATCCGATCCGGACATTGGGGATTGCCTTGTTAGTGAGACAACTTCATGGGCCTTCGGCATATTGTGGTAGGGTGGCCAGATCCTTTTCACGCCGCCTCTACTTCCCCAACTCGAAGTCAAGTACCCATTACTGCTGGGTGGGTAGGAGGGGACGAAAAAATCCATGTCAAAACCGAGGCTTGAACCCGGACTTTCTGCTTCGGAGATGAGTGCACTAACCGCTCCGCCACCGCACCCTGTGCTGTACTTGCCACTATAAACCATGATTCCCCATTACGATCAAAGAAACTGGTATCGTACCTTGGTAAACTCTACTCAACTTTTTAATGTCATATTTTTTCCCCTCAGTTCTCTCAAATTTATTTTTAAAACGGCCCAGGTATTGAGGTGCGACATTCTCTAGACACGAAACACAAACAAGTCATACAAAAACATGTATACATTTGGTACCATTTTTGAGGCAATAAAATGTAGAATGTAATGATATTTCTTAATGTATTTTTTAAAAAGTATCTGTGATTTGTAGGATGGGAAAGTTTCTAAAATGCAACATTCACTGTCTTCAACCTTCATGCACTCAATTTTTCCTCTTTGAATGACACAAAAATCTCGACTTACGCCAATATACTTTCCTCTCCATCACCATTGATATGATTTCGCATGCTGGATATGCAAGCAAACTGAATGTCATCTGATGAATCCACAATAGTTCTGAAAAGCAGAAAACAATTCAATCAGTGATGATGATCCTATTGCGTTTCACAAATTGACATGAATAACAATGTAAATAAATTACATTTTTATTTTGAAAGGGAGCAAAATTCCTCCAACAAATGCCAAAAGAGAGAAAAAAACCCCCCCTCTCTTGTAGGCCTGTGAAAATAGAAGAAAAAAAAAAATGGAAGTTTCAAAGGAAGGCATTATTCTGTGTAACAGTATTAGGCCTAGGTGTTTTCTATAACCTTTAGAACAGGACAGAGAAGAGAGCACGACTTTCCAAATTCAATTTACTCACTTGACAAGTTGTCGTTGAATGTTTTCTACTGTCTTCAGGGGGCGGTTCACCTTGATTCTCACAATGTTGGATTCCTCAGTAATGAAAACCTACAAGAGGAAGCATAAAAACAAAACAAAAGTAATGACTTGACTACCAATATTCTGCACCATTCAACTATTACCAAGCTGAGATGTCATTGCTATTTTAACCCGTTGAACGCTGGACCTAAAAACCTACAGAAATGCAGCATATGTTTAACCTCTCTAGTGATGACTATTAGATATACAGAAGAGAAAAGAAAGGTGTCCTAAGGCATGTGTCGAGGCACGTGTTCAGGCCTGTAAGGTTAATAACCCCAAAATAAACATGGTCAAGGGCCAAAGTCTTGTCTGAAGCTGAAGGTCTACCTGCTTACACCAAGGAAGTCATGCTGTATTTGGGCTGAGTGAACTCACGGCAGAGCCAAGAGACTGTTTGCAAAGCAAAGACATGTTGTTGTTGTTGTTATTTTCAAATCCCTTTAGCTTGTTATTTTCAAATCCCTTTAGCTGTGAGCATTTAGCTCTTGGCAGCGCAATGCCTCCCTCAAGTAACCACATGTCCGAGCAAAGACGTATATAATATATATATATATATATATATATATATATATATATATAGGGAAGTGGGGTCTGCTTCATCGATCAAAAGTGATACCAAGAAGAACTTTAGTGGAAAAAAAAGACTGGGAATCTCATTGAAACGTATTCTTAGTGTCTTGGAGTAAGGTTGAAAAATGTAAATAAAGCACCAAAGGTTGTCTCATCTGGTTAACAGCTTGAGTAGATAAAAGCCAGTAGCATTTCTCACTGATCCATAGCATCAGCAAGCTGAATTTCAACCCCTAATAGTGAATAAGAAGCTGTCAATATTACGGTGTGGTGGAGGAGGAAGAAGTCATATTTGAGAAGGTCTTACAGGTTGTTGTGGTGGTTTGGGAAGGGGGGGGGGGGTATAAGGAAAATTGAACAGTAGGCAGTTTTGATACCGCTGCAAAGAAAATGAATAGTGAATGCTAAAATAATAACTTCTGCAAGCTCTAGAAGTTACTCTTGCTCTCTTATGCTAATTTGTTTTACTCTCCACTTGCACACAATCATGCATAAGAGATTGCATGTAAGTGAATGTGATCACATGAGTCTTCAAAGCCTTCAAACAAGCATCAATATTATGTATGTTATATCCAAGAGGAGGAAAAAGAAGAAGAGAAAAAAGAGGTTGGAGAGGAGGTTGAGGAAAAAGAAGAGGAGGAAGAAAAAAAGAACATAAAAGAAAAGGAGACAAAGGGGACAAAGATTCTTTCAGTTTAGTTCTAGATAGAGTTTTATGGTACTTAAACACAATTAGGTCATTTAAGTGTTGAAGATTTGAGATTTCTAGAGAGTAATATATAAAGAACAGAATGAGGAGAAAAAATGATGACAGAAGACATTTGATAGGAAGGAAGGAACAAACCACACCAGAGCACCCACCAACCACCCACGAGGCCAAAGAGAGGGAAGAGGAAAAAGAGGAAAAGGAGGAGGAGGAGGTGAAGGAGAATGAGAAGGAAAAGGAGGAAGAAAAAGAGATGTGAGTTGTTATTGTTGGGTAATGACGAGCACATTGACACAATGATGGCCATTTAGTACTGGGGAAAAGTAAGACAGACAGACAGAAAGAAAGAAGAGAGCGAAAATAAAGAAATAGGACGTACCAGTGGTGCCCTCCAACCACCTACAAAAAGAAGTTTTAGCTTAATTCATTTAAGCCGATCCACCTATCTCAACAGTAGGACCATTATTGTGAAAAGAACTGAGTCAACAAAAACATTGGAACAACCGGATTTTGGGTACTTACAGTAGCTTTGGCAAGTGCCTCAAACAGTCCATCAGAGACGGCCACATTCAAAACATAGATCTTGTTTCCATTTCCGTCAAACCGGAATGAGATGAGGTTGCGTATGATTCCTGTCGTCCCGGATATATCAAACTCCCTACTTCCACCTTTTATTGAGTAACGTAGCTCAGAGTTATCGCCCAGGTCTCTGTCAGTTGCTGACACTTCCAGAATATCCCTCATGTAAGGAGTATCGATGGAGGCACCTGGGGACGATGGAACAGATTACAGTCTCAATAATTGAACATGAATAACAAATTCCCAGTGGAAAGGTATCAAAATCAAAAAGTACTCCAAGACATCATTGACATTATTATTGCATTTTATACCGCATTTCAATAACAAATGAAAACTAATGCTCATTAAAACAGAAAAGAAGAGGCAAAACTGATCCTTTTCCTTATTGGTGACAAACATTGAGAAAAAACACATCTCAAGTTTCCTCCTGATAATTCAAAATTACAGTCGTTAATTGTCTAAGACAGCCACCTATTGTGGAGGAAAAAAATGGCCGTCTTAGACAGGTGGCCATCATACCAAAGAGTCTACATAACAAGAGGGGCCACTTCTCTCTTTGAGCCAATTAAAAAAGTGTCCTCAAAATTTGGAGACGCCCTCTTCACAAAAGCGCAACCTTTGCGAACAGAGTTATCCTACTTGAGTTTAAAAAATCAAAGTGAAACTAGCAAGTTTTTGAATAAATTTCGGAAGAACGCTTTTTTAAAATGGTTACGCTGACAAAAAAACCTCTTCCGGAGGAAAGGGTTATGGTTTTCTTCGTTTAATTTGACTTTAGAATGAAAGGCGAGAGGTCATTAAAATTTTAAAAACCTAAAACTCCACACTGAACGAACCCGAACTGCTGATGAACAGCAGTCGATCTGCACACGCAAGGAGGTGCTATTCCTATACTTCCTCTGGAAAAACGAAAGAGAGCTTCAAAACAGACTGCAGCGCCATCTGAAGCAAAGAGCGAACTTCCGGCGGACACTTTTTTGGCTGAGTGGCCCATCTTGTTATGTACTATCTTTGATCATACACATTATCATTATCATTATAATGTTAAAAAAAAACCCAACAACCCAGGGTGGGGAAATGGAAAGTAGCCATATGTACAGATGATTGTACTAATCAGCTGGCCGTTAAAGCAGATCTGACAGGTTGTAAAATACTCACATGCAAGATATTCGGACTGTGAGAACACTGGTGGGTTGTCGTTGCTGTCACCTATGTTGATAACGACGGGCAAGACACTTGGGTTGACTTCTTCCTTGTAGCCATTCCCAATGTTGATAGCCCTTGAGCTGTAGCTGCCGTCACCCCTCATGTTGTAGCGCTTCACAGAGTCGTCATTCCTTAAGTTGTATGCTAGGATATCGAACGCCAACTGGTTCATCTGTTCATAGTCAACCTGCTTCTTGAGGTATATCTTACAGTCGTATTGATTCACTTCAATGTAGTCTTGAACATCGACAGCTGAAAATAATAATTAAATAAGATAGACTATGGATATACAAGACAGATAGTAAAACAAATATCTAAACAAAATATACTACCAAACAAGATATTTCATTAAACAGGTAACATAATCCTTAATTGAACAAGATGTTTAATTAAAAACAAGGTATATTGTTCAACAAATAACCTTCCATCTCTCTCTCTCTCTCTCTTTTGGTGTCTCTTGCTCTTCTCTCTCTCTCTCTCTGGTGCTGTCCTTCTTTCAATTTAAAAAAAAGCAGAGAAACCAATTGGAAACTTATAATACCAACTGCCCACAGTAGGCATTATGGAACTAACTTAAAAGTGGGTAGACAATGTTAGGCACTGAATGAATTCATGTACATATACAAGGTTCACCTCAAACCTGGAAAGAAACTGTCCACGCCCTTAGTATTGTTACGGTTAAAAATACACAAAAAACAAAAAGAATACAATGGTTCCAACACACTTTGAAATTGCATCAGTGTAAAGCTCTTCCAAACTACTAATCCAAATTGATTGTTTGGTGTAACACTCCGCCATATGTAATTTAGAAAAAAGATGAATGACAAGAGTTTGACACTGAACAGTTGAAATACACTATCACATTGACAGACTTTTTAACTGGCCATAACGTTGGCATTCCACTTTGGGTTTGATTCCAACTTTGTATGGTGGGCCGTAGCAACACTCACTGACCCTACAGAATCCTTGATTTTATAAAGGCCATTGGTCTTTATGGAAAATTGTAAAAACGGTAATTCAGATTTTAATCAGGTTATCATTTTTAAATTGTTATTTTACCTCAAGATTTTGAGCCTTTTAATTTTAGCATTTTAAATCTGGTCATTGACCTGGATCAATTAGCTAAGCAGTGAACTGTTGTGAATGCAACAAACTTGTGTTTCCCGCGCTCATATGACCTTATGCAATTGCGAGCGCCGCAAAACTCGTACTAAAACTAAAACAAAAACACTCACTGAGCAGCTCATAGTAAATGCGGTTATGATCTCCATCGTTTGAATCCGCGTCAGAGGCAAGGTAGGAACAGTTGCCGAGAAGACGACCAGGCTGAGTGGTAATGGGCACATTCTCCGCCACAGGAGTCTCTGGGAGCACAAGAGGGACCACTGCACCATTCTGCCAATACAAAAGGAAAGAATAAGATTAATGCTCACACCACTATTAGCAATAACATCAAGAATATTGAAGAATACTATTAATAATATCAAAACAATTACCAATAATTATATCATCATCATCATCATCAAGTGTCATATCTGTGACAGACATCGGTGATTATAATTCTCCATTCATTCCTTTGCTCGGATGCTCTTAAAAAAGCTATGTTACCTTGATCTTTCCTCCGTTACCCATCTGTTTAGGTTCTCCAAGCAGGTTGCTCTGGGCCCTCTCCTTTGACGTGCAAGCTGCTTCAAAGGGAGCTAATTGACCATCAGTTCGATTCTGATCTTAACTCTTTTATCTCCAGCAAGCTGATCCAAGTGGCTTGCAATCGGAACTGCTGGGCCATTGAGCCCCTGACAAAGGATCCACCACATTCCTTTACCAGGACAATGGTGTTATAGTGATTTTCCTTGATTGCGGAAAACAAGTCTCTCTGACTGGTAGTTCTTTCATAATAGGAACAACTACCAAAATACATTTATTTCTTTTGATATAGTGGCGCGAGTTCGCACACCTTGCGGACGTATCACCGATATATCGGCTGTGATAGGGTGCTTCAGTATTGTTTCGCTTTAATACGATGCGTCATTTATAATTACTTTTTATTGCTATTAAAAAACTCAGAAAGGATTTAGAAAACGAAAACATCTAGTTTCACTTTGTCAAAGCGTGGGTTTGGGGAAAAACGAGTGAATTAGTTCTAGCGGTCTTGCATCAACAAAACGATGTAACCGGACTCAGTATAAATATCATAACTCAAACAAAAATTGGAATATTGCTTTCAAATAAAAAGCTGTGTATTCAGAAATTCATGGATTATGCTCTTGGCCTGTATATGATCAGATAGCTATGCTGATTTGCTTTTACGTGTTTGGTGAATGTAATTTTTTCAATCAAAATGTATTTTTCTCATCACCATTTCTAACCCTTCTAATGCATAATTATGTTCAAAATTAATCCTTATTTCATATTGGGATGTATTCCTCAATCTATTTCCTTCAATTTGATATATCATATGTTACGTTTGGAGTGATGGTTATGCTTCTATGAAGTTAATTTGTACACTGCATAGCCAAATCGAGCCACAGGTTAATTATGTCTAGACCCCAAAAAATCTACGTCTGGAAAGAGTTAATGGTCAATTTAGTGATGTGTATAATCTCTCTTTCAGGTTTCATACCAAAAGGGCTCTGGCATTGTGGGGTAAATCCCTCTGGAGATAAAAAGTTGAATGGCAGATAAGCATCACCAATTTTGAGAGAATTGTCCTCCACCTTCCCTGAGCTTTCCAGCATGTTCCCAAAGACCATGTGCCTTTTATGTAGCACACATCAGTGGGAAAAGCCCTTCTCCACCATGAACCTTAAATATTAAAAGTACAGATCTAACTTTACTGATGAGCATCTTCAAGCAAAAGACTACAGATCACAAAACATGCGTTCCAAAAGATCAGGGTTGACGTGAAATGTCTAATTTTTCAAATGAACCTTTCAAGATTTCACATCTGTGATGAAAGTCTAAACATTCAAATCTTGATACAGTGTTCAGAGCTTTTTTTTCTATCCTAGAAAACCTACTCTCATTCTGAATCTTGGATCGTTGTCATCCACATCCAATATCATGACCGTCAGGGTCGTCTCTGAAGAAGCGGAAGGATTTCCACTGTCTCGGGCCAACAAAGTCAGCTGTGGAAAGAGAAATGGTAAAAAAAAAGACCCACTATAAATAAACACTTATTTATATGACAAATTTTTGTGTGTGTTGTGTGTGACCGTACATGTGCATGTGTGTGTGTGTGTGTGTGTGTGTGTGTGTGTGTGTGTGTGTGTTTGTGAGTGTGTTTGTGTGTGCGGCGATGTATGTATGTGTATATATGTGTGTGTGTGCGTGCACATGAGAGAGAGTTTTTCTAGCTATTCTTGGCAATTGCAACTGGTGCTGGTGGAAGACGTCGGAAAGAGAAGGAGGAGGAGGAGGAGGAGGAGGAGGACAGTAGCACTAACATTAGTAGTACAGTCGAAACTCTAAAAAGGACACCCATTGTCGAGGAGAAAAGTGGCCGTCTTAGATAGGTGTTCATCTTACTCAGTGTCACTTTGAAGTAAAAAATATGCAAGGGAGGAATTGGGAAGTGGCTGTTTATACACAGGTGATTGTTTTATACATGTGGTCTTTAGAGCAGGTTTGTCTGTATATGGTTCATTACAATATATGCATACTCACAAAGTATCTGTCCACTTTCTCCCGATCAAATATAACCTCAGCACGGATGACGCCAGTGACCCGATTGATGCGGAACTCTGAGGTGTTGGAGACGAGATTGCTGTTATGGATGAAGTAGTAGTTTACAATACCATTGGGTCCCTTGTTCTCATCTTTGGCCTTCGCGTCGTACACAAGCATGCCCTCATACTGGCTCTGCGATGGGAAAAGAACTAAACAGCTCAGGAACTTTCTGAGTTTGGAATAACAATGGAAGTAAAGAATTGTTAAAACTATACATATCTTATCAGTACCCTATTCTCATGCTTAACAGAAAAATATATACAAACAGAAATAAAGAAATTGAATGGCTTTTCATGGTTTGTGAGGCTCAACACATTTTATGTCCATTTAAAAACACGTTTCTGTACCCTTCAGTTGCAAATATAATGATATATTGACATCTTATAAGATCAAAAGAAAGACAAATAAAAAAGCTTTCAGATGACATCAAAATCTCGGTACGTCCCAAAACCGCTGAGTGCCTAATTCCATTGTGTCATTTCATATATAATATCTTGTGTCTTTCAGAGCCATTTTTGAACAATGCTTCTCTATCCATCACACAGGACGCTTGGAGTCAATCAGCAAAGAAAATTCTGCTTCAGTAACTCAAAATTAACCACAAAGTTTCAAGTTCTTCCAGCCCCC